GTTATTTCGGAATCTTTCTTATTGTCTGAGTCTATTAGTGAATTTTATGTTATTTCAAATGAAGTAGACTGTCAGAATTTTATTGGATATTTAGAATCTAATTTCCTGACCTAATTATCCACTAATGTTGTAGTTGGAAAGCTGTTTCTCTCACCAACTGAAAGAACTTTCGGTTATCAAGTCAAACAAGGGTGTACTGTAACATTCATGACAAAAATGGTTCAGTTATGTACATTAGGATAACTCAAGTGGTTGTGAATGGAATTATGTATGCAACGGAATTCGACTGACACCTTTCAAGTAATATATTTCTCAAACTCGATAAAATCTTGGATGAGGAAAAAGCAATGCTATATTTTGAGCATTTTAATATATTTCTGTATAAGATGGTGTTTATGAGCGATAGTAAAAATGATAATTGAATCTTCAAATAATAGGTGGATTTCTAGTTATCAATTCTGTTAAGTTTAGAAGTGAAGTAAGAACGGAATTTCTGTACAAAAGATGAGGAACTTGATGCTTAACGGTTGAAGGTAATTGGTGGGAAAATCTATGCCTAAATGTAGTGCTTCTTAACCCTTCCTTGCTGCGCGTATCTGCAAACTAGAAAGAACTGATATCCCGTGAAACATTCAGAACCTCAGTGGCCCATCAATTGTATCTACTACTACTGTATGGTGGTTAAATAAGTTCAGCGTTGTTTTTCATCCATCTAATCTACTTGTGAATTTCTTCGAAAATAAACCATACTCCGGATTTACAGCATAAAATCCTGAACAGGATTTGTCTGAAGTATGGTAGTGAATTAATAAATACCAATGATTAATAAAGCATAGACCTCAAATAGTAAGATGTAAGTCCGCTTATAGCCTTCACTGTGTGACAGTTCGAATAAGCTGACTGAAATGGAATCAGGGAAACAACTGAAAGGAGTGGAACACAGATGTGAAACGAGAAGGATACTAGTGTATAAGGACGTGAAGATTATGAGCGAAATGCGATTACGAGAGGGTTGAACCAAGTTACGGGTAAAGTAACGTTGTAGGGAAACATGAATTAGAGGAAGACACACAAGCAAACAACATTGTTTTTAGTTAGCTCTCATTAGGCTTTACGCTAATATACATAAATTTTCTCATACATAAACACTAAACCAACCATAGTGGGTTCTTTAATCCGTGGTAATAACGAAATGAAGCACGTAAGTGGTAGATATCTAGATGATGATGGCTATGATGATAGTAATCATGATAAAAATGATAACAATATCGATCTCGCAGCTCATCTGGTAGAGTACCGGGCTGGAGACCCGGTGGTTGCTGGTTCGAATCCGGTCATGGTCCAAATCTACATTTTACTTTCAATCATCACCCAGTATCAATACTAATCTGCCAAGCCACAGATATCTTAGATAGTCAAAATTATATTATTATTATTATTATCTCAGTGATGATGAGAATAGTAAGAACATCACGGTACTGCAAACATTTAGACAAACAGTGCAGGCCAAAACTTAGAAGAATAAAAGTTACGTAATACCGAAGGATAAAATGCATAGATTATCAAAGTGAAAGCAAATGAACATGTGTGAAACGGGTGAAGGAAGAGGAAAAGGATGAAAATTGAAGTTGTCTTTAGAGTTATTTATAAGATTTTCTCTGGTCAGGACAGAAATAAAAGCTGCAACAATTTTTTCCGCATACTAAAACTAGGTTTAGTTTCTCCAATTCCTATAGCCTCAATATTATTATTATTTGTCCCTTGGGTTCCTAGTGGAACATAGGGCTTCAGTAGCACGTCTCCATTTCACCATCCTCTCTGCAGTCTTCTTAACCTCGCTACACGACTGCCCACAAGCTTTCATTTCTTCCTCACACCATCTTCTCCATGTCACCCTCGAAAGCGCCAAACACATTGTTTCCCACTAGGGTTCCACCTGACAGCCTGACCAGGCCTGGCCTGTCACGTGATGTCCCCAATCGGTCGTCTCAGTGTTTATCCAATTCAATCCAATCCATCGCCACTTTCTGGTGCATATTTGTTGGGTGATCGGTTCTTGGTTGTTTTGTTGCCAGCCAGCCAGCCAGCCAGCCAGCCAGCCAGCCAGCCAGCCAGCCAGCCAGCCAGCCAGCCAGCCAGCCAGCCAGCCAGCCAGCCAGCCAGCCAGCCAGCCAGCCAGCCAGCCAGCCAGCCAGCCAGCCAGCCAGCCAGCCAGCCAGCCAGCCAGCCAGCCAGCCAGCCAGCCAGCCAGCCAGCCAGCCAGCCAGCCAGCCAGCCAGCCAGCCAGCCAGCCAGCCAGCCAGCCAGCCAGCCAGCCAGCCAGCCAGCCAGCCAGCCAGCCAGCCAGCCAGCCAGCCAGCCAGCCAGCCAGCCAGCCAGCCAGCCAGCCAGCCAGCTAGCCAGTCTGCCTGCCTGCCTGCCTCCCTGTTGCAGTCGTATTTTGAATCCAGCGCATTTGTGAGTCTCTCCAGGATGATGCGGCTTAATATTTTACCTGGTGTGGATAGGGACGGCAACATGATTCCTTGCTGGTTTTTGCAAAGACTTAGGTCTCCCTCGTTTGCGAGTTTGACAAGGTAGCCCTTCTTCCAATCAATCAGCAGGCACATTTCCCTCCTCCCTTCTGAACCTTCTGCAATAGTGGTGTGAGCATGTCCGCTGTTGTCTCTGAGTCTATTTTCAGTGCTTCTGGTGGAATTTCATCTGGTCCTGCTGCTTTCCTGGATTTCAACGAGTTTATTGTGTTAGGGGCTTCACTCTTGCTGTTGTCACAGGATTTGTCTTCAGTGGTAATTCTGTGGCTGGTCTGGTGGTGGTATTTCTGGACGAGTTGCAGGTGGTGGTGGTGGTGGTGGTCGATTCAATAGTTTTCTGAAGTCGTCAGTCCATCGTTTCCTTTCTTTCTCCTCTCTGCTAACCAACCTCCCTTCACTATCTTTCATTCGTTCCATCTGAGCTGATCTCTACCCACATAATATTTTGGTTATTTCACACACGGTTGTCAGGCCTCTCCTACCAGCATCCTGCAGTCTGTTCTGCTCCACTAACCAGTGTGTCGTGGAAGTGTCTTTTGTCTTCTTCTTCTTCTTCTTCACTTCTTTTTTCGGTGTAATGCTTTATACGTTGTGTTCTGTTCCTCTTTTCGTTGTAATCCTTGCACTGCACTGGTTCATGTTCTGCTTCACCATCACCATCTTCCTCTCCCTCCTCTATCAGCTTCCATGTGTCCGTCGACATCCACTCCTTGTCTCCCTCCTTCTTCGTCATTCCTAACACAGTTATGCAGGTTTCCTTCCACACCTCTTCAAAACGATTCCAGTCTTCTCCCATGCAGCTTTATTCACGGATGTTGCTCAATATCTTCCATCTTATCCTGATGACTGACTGACTGGCTGGCCCCCTGGCTGGCTGGCTGATTGACGTGAAGCCATCCTTTGTAGTTTCATCCTTCAGTTCAGTTTCTGTTCTGTTCTGGGTTGACGTTGGACTTCAACTCTCTTCTATCATCACCAGCTTCTTTCAAGGCTTTCAACTTGATTTTGTGGACAGGCTCCTTGCACTAGATAATCGTGTGTGTGTGTGTGTGTGTGTGTGTGTGTGTGTGTGTGTGTGGCGTGAACCGACATCTGCTCCCCTTCTTCATCCGATCTGGTGTCCAGTAGGCTGCATCTCCATCTCCACTTTCTTCACATTCACATGAAGTCGTTCTGATGCTTAGTGTAGTGTGTCCCGGTGTCTGGTGAAATCAGATGCATGTCGCTACCTTGTGAATATCCTTGTGTTTGTACACACTGCATCGACTCCAGTCACCAAATCGTTGAATGCACAGAAGTCTGCGAATACTTCTCCATTCTCATTCATCATTTCACTGAGTGCTTCTCGACCCATGATCAGTTCTCTTCCTGTGTTGTCCACTCCCAGTTTGGCATTCATCTCACCTCACCCCACCCCACCCCACCCGACCCCACCCCACCACACCCCACCCCACCCATTAGAATGGATTTTGATGTCACCAACTGGAGTATGGTCTTGTTCAGTGCTGATTGTAGTTGTCTATGGAATTCCTCCTTCTTCTCTTCATCTGCATTATTCGTAGGTGCACAGAGTAGCATTGTATGATTTTGAATTTCCCTCCTCTTGATTTGAATCTTGCTGTCATCATCCTGATCCTGGAGGAGGACATTGGTTCCCATCACCTGAGAGCCTTTCATGCTCTTTGAAGCATCATGATAGCCACTGGAAAACTCAGTGTGCTGTGCTGGTGATTGTTGTGTGTGTGTTGATAATATCTGAGTAGATTACTGAGTCGTCTCCAGTTGACAGTTTGGAGAGTCCACTTCCATTCCATCTGCTTTCAGTGATTCCTAGCCTGGTATTTCTATGCTATGCCTTCTCATCTCGTTTGCAATCTGGTCAGTCTTGCTAGGTCCATATATGATGCGGACATTTCATGTAACTAGTTAACTAGGTAACCAGGCGAGGTTGTCTGATAATTCTAGTCGTTTATATTTGTTAGCATGCCAGTTGTATGATTACTTTAATATGATTATGAGAATGGGTTTGTGCTCAGAAATGTAATTTAGTGTATTTTGCTTCCTTTCTGTGTTATATTGATTGGACGAACCCAAAACTGAATTATTCTGTGTAGCAAACTGTCCAGTTTTCATTTATATATCACTTAGTGGATACACTGACAAGGTAGTCATTAAATTAGCTATGGTCTTTTTAAGCCAGTGTAACAGAAATCATGAGGCAGAACTCTATACCACAAATTTGATACATTTTGTCCTCTTCTGAATCTTCACTAAATTAGAATTTAGTAACAGTTAGTTTTACTAACTTTCGTAGACGTAGAATTTCAAGCTTTGACTCTTCCTCATCTTTTTTATGAGCTTGGCGTTAAGTGAGGCTGTGAATATCCACAACGCGTTAGTTCTAAAACAACCAAATCAACTGTGTCAACATATTTTTCAGTGGTTCTGTAATCACAATGAAAACTGTCTTATTACTCACTCTTGTCATTTGATTTCCAAACAGGTATATCTCACAAAGTTAATTTCATTATGAACCCAGAAAACTATCGAGCCATTTAACTACTAAGAAACTGTGTTCGATTAATTTTTTATAAAAAGATGATACCAAGTACAGTTTGTTTTGTTTCTACAATAAGCTACTGATATATTAGAAAGTAGTTAAAGTCAAAAGGATTCAAAATGTTAGATCTAGTTTTCATTGATTTTTAAACAAATTGATCTGGGTATAATATATGTGTAAAATAAGTAAACGCAACTTCGATATATATATATATATATATAACTACTGAATCATTACTTCCTCATGACGTGTAAGGCTGATGTTTTGTGGTACATGTATTTCAGTGAGATCTGGTGCATTTTTATGTGGGACAATAATGTCAGTTTCACTAATGAAACTAGGATTATTAGTTCTGTCATCCGGCAGTGTATTCTCTAATTCAAAAATTCTCTGTCTATTCATGATTGCAGCCTCCTCTTCATTCCCGCAATCTTCATCATTATTATCTTCATCAGCGTCATCATCTTCGTCTTCCTCACTATTGTACAGACCTAATTCTTTCAGTTCTTTAACTGTCAGACATTGTGGTGAATCGGCATAGTAGTCATTTTCACCAACTTCAGGTATAGCTAGCAAAACAGTAGCTGATAATGGAAATTGTTCACATTTTTGATCATTACAATAGTAATAATACTGATAGTCTGAACATTGGGGATACAGTGATGTTGGTCTATTTTGATGATTCATTGTGTGTTCTGCCAACTGGTTAGGAAAGGATGTTGATTTAACTAGGAGAAAAAAGGAGAAAATAAGAGTATATCGCACTAAATTGGATGCAATGAAAGATATTCAAAGCTAAACCAAAAAAAGCAAAGTGAATTTATCCAAGCCATCTTCTTTACTTTTGAATTCTGTTTACTTTTTGCTAGAATTTCAAAGACGTTGGTCACATGGTTTACACCTGTAAACAAGTTTTGAACAAATATTCTGTGATTTTATGGACTAATGTATTCTTTCAGTGTCATCGCCATCAACATTTGTGAAGCATATACTACTGCAGCCGTCATTACATTTTAGAACGAGTGATGGTTCCGTGTGTGGCATACCTATCACACCTGCGTTAGTAGGTTAACGTTCAGAATGTCATTAAGTGACTTAAGCTCCTTATCCAAAAGTCAATATTAGTTCTCAACAGTAGTCCTCGACTGGTGCCAAATACGTGGTTAGTTCTGTGACAGTACGCTTATTAAAACAACTAATACCTCAGTGACATAAAATGATGGGGATGGGGGGGGGAGTGGCATCTTTAAACACGGACGGAATCTATTTAGTTTTGTTTTGGTCTTTCACTTACCTTTATCGTCGACTTTGTGTCTTCAATTTTGAGACAACAGTCAGGCAGTATCCGTAGTTATGATGATAATTATTTCGAAAAAGGATATTGGTATAGAATTTCCCCGGGGACTCATTGATTCCAAGAGAGTATTCATCAGGGACTGACATTAGCTGGAGTATCACTGAAAACCTGGGGGCACCGAATAGCTGTTTCATCCTATTATTGGTTTCCTCAGAAGTGTACAACTATGACTCCATCATAAACCAGACTCAAAACCGTGAAATCGCCCACTGGGTACACTGCTACTTGTCACTGGGTTGGAGTCCAGTGGTTCATAGTTCCCTACTTCTCTCAGTTCACTATATAACCCAACCATCACCGGTGAGTATTTGTCCTCACACCCGACTTATTTGACCCCACAGGTTACTGTTTTTTATTAGATTAGAATGGTAAAGTGCGGTTTCGTTTTCTTAAACAACGAAGAAGAAGTACTCATAGTCATATTTCCTAAATGCATTCTTTAATGTTGTTCATCACTTCATTAATATATTCTATAATTCATATTCATTAGAGCTGCCCACGTTTTACGCACCAGAGAAGTCCGTACATATTCAAGTTACATTTATTATACTTTATCTGTTTCAATCTCATAGCACAAAATAATTTAATTCAAAAACATCAAAAAGTATCTAGGATAACATGATTTTCTCTAAGGGATCAGCTCCAGCTGACATTTTCATCTTTTAGTCGTTATTTCATGATGAAATAACGTCTTTGAAATCTTCAGCTTCGATCCTTTTGTGGAAGTGGTAGTAGGACAAACAGATCTAAGAGCAATCTTTACTGAAAGCCGATGACTTAAATCTTTCAACAGATAGATATACTTGCTCATTTCTCTTCAGTTATCAGAGACACTTCCAAATAAATTGGTTTACTGACCTATCCAGGTGGAATTGTTAAGTTGTTGCCTGTTAGGGTGTATACACTGTTAATAAAATTTTGAGTCACTGATAAGCCACTTTTTTCATGAGATTATCATATGCCCCAGCCAAATTTCACAGCAGCTTCAAAAAGTAAGGAAGGAAGGAGTTTCTGTTGATCGTTTGCAAGTACCTGCAATCAAAGATTTTCCTAACCCATAGTATAAAACTATGCTCTATCACAGTGCACAAGTTTAGTTCTTTAAAACAACCCGCTTTATTTAAATATAAATACTAGAGTAAGTAGTGGATACTTAAAAGCTTTCAAGCTGATAAAAGTAATGGATTACTTAGCAAATGTTCCTTATTCTCGTTTGAATGTTCACTTGGTTCAAGAAATAACTCTGAATTGACTTGATTATTTTGTACAGGACTCGGATCGCCAGAGGAATCTGTAGCGGAAGTAGTAGTAGTAGTGTTAGTAGTATTAGCAATAGAAGTGGTAGTCGTAGTAGTAGAATTTATAGTAGTAGTGACTGTTGTTGCCGCTGATGTATGACTTTCGTTTGACGACGCCTTCATTGTTACTTTCTTGCCTCCTTTATATTGACACTCTTCAATAGGTCCAAATTTAACCTTTAACAGATAAATCAATAAACGTACGAAACAGGGTATATAAAAATGTTTTGTGTTTTAGAAATACTTATATATAATGATTCATTAGATCGCTTGAGCAACAGTTGACCATCAAGTTCTGTATCGGTGAACAGAAAATTACATATAGACTATGAAGGGTTGTCATGTCGTTCGCTTGTTTTCACTGCATCATTTATGCGCCTACTTTGATCTGTCAGTTCAGATTTTCTTATCTAACTGTGTCCGTTAAGGATTTCCACTCTCTCCATGTTTATTCATCTTCATTATACATGTGCTTGTAGAAGTATTAACTAACTCACCTGATTTTACATGTATTAGTATCCTTGAAGCAAATTCTTAAATCAAGTTAGAGTACATAGATGTCCTAGTTATGTTAGGTGAAGATAATGATATTGCTTAGTCTTGTGAGTACATTGAGTGACAATCTGTGGATCATGTGAATACATTTTCGTGTCTCCTGAATGCAAATTGTTGTTTCAGGACTGATCTATGGTGATACGTGACTTGTAACAGAGATTGAATTGACCTCAGGCTTTTGTAAGATCAGTACGTGACTTCAATCTATGAAATTTCTAACAGTTGGTGTGAATGGTGTGGAGAATTATGGACTTCTTGATTACATTCTGAAATAATAAAAGCTGATGATTGGAAACTGTATGTGATGTGGTGTCTAATTGACCTTTAAGGTGCAAATGATGACGTAACCAACCCTCATCTCAATCTTCGCATTACACTTCGCTATTCACTTCATTTTTCGTTTTGTTTGTCTCGTGGCTTCCTACTACTATTAATAGTTTTACTTTCACTCATTTCTTTTGCTAACGCTTACCTTGTATGCTGATGTTAGGCAGGGCAACTAGGTTTGATATTCAGTAAGGGCAGGTGTGATTCTGACGGTTAACAACCAATGCCAGAAAGATGGAAATTTGCTTATCCCATGAAGTACAAATAGGATAAATAAGGGAATACAGATCACGTAGCTTATGATGCTATTGTTGACAATTATCTAAGTAGTACCATTTATTCTACTGAAGTGAATAGTTTTAGGCATTAAATTAAACGGTGTCGACTCTACTAAAAACAACTTTGTTCAGTGTACTAGATTAGCTGTACCGTTGTCTTCAGGTTTGTTGATCTCCTTCTCTTCAAAATCGTTTTGACATATACGAATCAGTGTGACAGATCCTACCTAACCTAAGGTAGAATTCAGCCAGTATGTTGTATTCAGTAACATACACTAATACAGTTGAGTAGGATGGAGTAACGATCATTAAGACTAATACGGTTATTTAGGGGGAGAGTTTGGTCAATGAATCTTTGGTCGTCAAACCAGCACTCAACACATGAGATAGAAATAATTTAACTTAAATGTCAGATGTTTTTTAATACTACTGATGATAAAATCCAAGGATATCGGATGGAAAAAACGCGGGAACCAAACAATAGAATGTACTCAAAATGTCATCCAGTGAACAAATAAACTTAAATAACGTGGAAGTATACCTTGTCACTATAACCAAATTCTACTGTTTTATTAATCCAAACATTTATCATATACTGGCTGCTACTACATAGAAGAATATCATACAGATTACCATGCAATTACTAAACTATGTCAATAAAATTTAACGGTAACGAAAGTTACACACATTGTTGAAAATACTAAAAGTGAATAATTACCTGTTTAATTCCATTTTCTTTTCTACGACTGTCTATAGAAGATTTACTTAGGCCGTCTTCATTTTTCTGTTCACAACTTTTCCTGTTTGAACATAATTTGAAACGAAGTCATGAAGAAGAGATATTCGTTGAATGGAAGAGTATGACTTTTCAATGAATGCAGTTCTTTGAACGGACTTACGTTTTTTACTTTTGTGATATGTAGGAAATGCCAGAAATGATCGAGTTAAAGGATCTGGTATCATAGGAGACAAATTCGGCTACACTTATACATAAGCACGAGTTCATGATGGTGTTATGCTGTTACTTTAAAAGAGTTAAAAACTTTCTATTCCTTCAGCTTATCAAATCGCACATGTTTTACCAGGCTGTTGTTCTTTGTTGGTTTTCAGTAAGTATAATCTTTATCATAGCATTGTTTGAGGAGTATTTGTTACAAGCACTCTACCTGTGAACATCTAGTTCAAGAACTTAGGAAATGTTTGTACCTTCTTTTTCTTGATGGTCCAAGACTCATTTAGTATTAGAATTATATTCCAACCTTTGATATGAAGTATAAACTAATAAGTCGTGCATACACCGTGTAACTAAATAAAATAGTGACCACTGAATTGTTAATTTTACTACATCAGCTGATCAGTTACATTAACGGACTAGCTACCTCATGGCTAGGTTGTAAGACGTTACGTTGTGTTTAAGTAACGAATAGTTCAGTTGTTCATTGTAAGAATTCGGTATTTGGTTAGTTATCAATAGTTATTTTTCAATGCTAGTGATTTCTATGGGATTTTTCCAGATTTATTCACATGAGATGAGGAGTCAGATCTAAAAGTTTCAATCCACCGAATTCTTTGAGTACGGAAATCAATCTTCATTACTTTTTCATTTACGGTCTTAAGTGCACTTTGCATTTTTTCATCGTAGTTAACAAATATTAGACAGAATCAGTTTCAAGTCACCCAATGAAAAATACCGACCTTTATTTCTATTGAAGTGAACTCGTTTAACCTCTGAAACCTACTTTTCTCATCCAGTTAGCTATTAACCTATAAATGTCCTAAAACAGATTAAAATTACTCTTGTTAGCCTAAACTTATCAGATGTATGATTGATGGCCTTTCAAACAATACCTAAGCGGTAATTCATAGCATTGGGATTAGAGATCTATAAACGCTGATCTCTTTTATACAAGAGATTCTTTATTTAAGGTCATCACAGATATAAGAATGAAGTCTTTCCAGGAAATTTTGTAAGTTTACTTTGATTAAGAGAAACATTACTGGTTACTTGCCACCTATAAGGTGGGTAGTTATGACCATGTGATGAAGACCTTCGTATTTTTGATTATAAGTCTACATTACGGCACATTTTAACCAAACATCCGCCTAAAATCGAAGCATCTGAATACAACACCACAGCTAACAGAATGATCTACTTTAAGTGAAAGTTACAACATTATGAACTAATTGGAAATGTTTTTTAAGAATTTTATACTTCTCAGAAGTAGTCATTTAATATTGAGTAGTGTTTTGTAAATGACCAGTGACAGTAGCTGCTACAACTTAGTAATTGATCTTTGGATTTGTTTATAAACTTCGTTGATACAATAACAAAGGTTACGGGGAAAATTTATTGCTCTAGTGAGTCATCTCTTTAGATGAATGAATTTCACTAGTAATATAGCTAGTAAAATCTTTGAATCCTTATAACATTTATTTCACACTTGAAAGCTTATAGTTCTAATTTAACAGTAGCTCATAGGGATTTAAATATCCTTTGAAGACAGCTTTCTAGGTAGGAAATGGAATAAATGAGAGGGTGTTCCAAAATGAGCAAGATAGGTAAACGAGGAAAGATTATTCCGAAACCTTTTTTGAACTATTTCCTATAGAGACGCTTTCTTGCAATTTCGTGTTCAGTGATAACCAATGGGAATTTTCTTGCAATTGAATTTGGGATTTATTGCTGCTTGTTTGTTTCAGATAAAGGTTGAATTTGTTAGCTGTTAGTTATGCATAATGTAGTATTTGGTTGGAGCATTTCGGCACTTGTAGCCGTGATTGCTGCTGTGGGTGATGCGGGTTTAAATCTAGGAAGGAACATCAGTTCCATTGAGGTTGCAGACACGCTTTGCTTACAGGCACCAACAAGTGGGAGACACAGATCCAGAAATACCTGCCGACTTCCTCTATACAAGTAAAAACGATCAAAGCGCACTGTTATGCTGATTCTCCCAGCCTGGTGATTAAAATGCAAGGCGGTCGATAGAATACGGTAGGGACTGAGGACTAAACCATACAGAATTCATCACAATCCAGTAACCAGTCAATACAGTGTAGTTATGTAAGTCTTGACTTCGTTAACTAACGGGATTAACAAGGGCCTTAGAAAGGTAGTATTGTGTATGTAGCTCAGGATGGAAATGTTAGGCATTGAGTGCTTTATAGTTTTTGATTCTTAACGATGGATGTTTCATCAATAAGTTGAATAACTTCGTCACCAACTGTTTCACAAATGGATGTGTATATTTTCTGTTTCATCGTCAAGACGACCTTTCTTATCATTCATCTCTGAGATTCGTGTGTAATCTGTCTAGTTTGTGTAGCTTTCAGTGATTAACGAAGGAAGCTAATTTGTCAAAGGTATTTGAGCTAAATTTTACGCGTGGTTGATTTCATTTGTAAACTTTCGACTAAACCAATGTAAGGTTCTTTTTTTTTAGAGTGCTTTTAACCGGTACACTTCAGTAGGACAATGCGAAATATTACCATTAGGTTGTGGCATTTTCCATACATAGTCGAAAGCACTTATTTCATCTCACCAGCACATATACATAACAAGAATGATGAAGGTGATCTAGTTGAAACCAGTTTTGAATCGATCAGCCTGCTTTGTAACCACACCACTTTTTCCCTATTCCTTGTATGTCTTAGTGCTTTATGGGTCTGATAACTTATTAACCATGAAAGTGTAGAACTGTTGTTGTCATTAAAAGCACCCATTACGTTTCTCAGATATCAGCTTAACTGCTGACACAATCTGCCTAAGGTGTTAGAATTTGTATGAAGCATTTAGTCTAAGAATTCTGGCTGGAGTCTAACACGGCTTTTTTCTAATGACAATTCTACTTTTCTAAATTTCTGTTTGTTGATAGATAGCTTCATCCAGTAAAAGAGGGCTTTAGGTTTGGATCCATATAAACAAACATCTTAAAATCAAGCTAGGTGAGGCGAAAAAAAGGAATACGGGTTGAAAACAGTTCTTAAAATTTACTGAATCAACATAGAATAGAAAATTAAAACTTCGTGTAAGTTACTCCAAACAATATCCCTTTTGCAGACAGTGAATTCAGTAAAAAATATTTTCAAGTGTTTCATATTTTCAATCAAATGATAGGTAACCCATTTGATTCAGCTTTATGTCTGGTGGCAATTACCAGCAAGGCACATCTGTAACACCCAAGGGAGCTATTCTTCAAAAATCTAACGAAAATCCTTAGGTTATATGAAAATTAAACACTACTGAATTGCCATTCCGATCATGAACCAATCAGCTGACTAAACACCGATAGTTTGATATGAGGTTTTTCCACTTCATTCATTAAGTATTACGATTCAAAGCTATGCAAAAATATTACTAATCAGTTACTAACCTTAGAATAGGGTTGGTCACTGAGGGTATTCCATTTGTGCAGCTTTTACTTGTTGACGGATTTAAACCTGAGGTGAAAGTTTTTGATCGAGTTATTCCTGTTTGGGTATTACTCGGGTCTATATTGTATCGAAAAGCAAACGGGACACAAGTCAATGAAAAAGAATCAGGAAAACTAACAAACACTGTGTCACTATTATTATATCTATTGTTATTATTATGATTACTATAAAATCCAATCAAATCAAACTAGATACCTATTTGTCGTATATTGAGATGTTTCGGTGGGCGATAACATAAACCATCTTTGTGATCCCAAATCTGCCACCTTAGTTTAGTATCCACCGCCCTCTGACACTTAGATGACCGCAGTTTCTTAGCATAAACTGCTTTTCACGACACAAAACAGAAGACAGTGAGTATATAGAGCTGTTTTAATTCATTTTAGTCTCTTTATAAGACGCACGATACAGTGAGACAGTATTCGTTACTGGATAACATTTAGAACACAGTTTATGGTTCACAATCATATTAAGGTAATCCCACAACCTTGAGATATGGTTTATATGGTTCCAGCTCCATCTGCTTCATCGTGATAAGAGAAGCAGAATTTTCCATATATCCTGAATAAGTACTGAATGATCCCCTATTTGCGTTGATTTGTGTTGATTTGATAAACAAAGATTCAGTTATGAATCTCTCGTCCACCCACTCTTATTTTTTAGGGTTGTCACTCTGTCCCATCCTACTGTGTAGTTGTGTAATTGCTGGCTTATTTACAGGCAAGCCTTTTTCTAAATTTCGTATCTTACTAGGGTCTACTAATTTTGAGTTAGCTAGGTTTTGGAGCTCTAATGGCGAAATTGACTTTATGTGACCACTCTGACCCGTGTATTTGACCTTGGGATAATTTCAAGGGATATGGTAAACCAAATTATTTCTTCCAGTTGGATCAGTAGAATCTTTTAACCCGTGAAGTATGTTTCTAAGTGGGTTTACAGACTTATATGTCAGCCTCATAGCAGCATTATAATGAATTCTCCATACAGTTTCCGAGGTGTCCTCACTTTATTGTGACACTGTAGAGGTCTATAATTCTGTTTTCGCGACTGTATTGTTATTCTTATTCTTACTGTAATTGTTAGCACTTGTGTTACCACTACTAATAATATTTCGCTTTCAATTTCTTATGAATTTACTGATACGTTTGGGTGGGTGATTAATCAGGCTAGAGATAACGGCAGTATGTTTGGTCTCTTATCTCAACTTTTGCATAATACTACTAGATGGTTTGCTCTGCCATTTAGATATTTAACCAAACTAATATTGTGTAGAATAAGATTACCATGATGTGCATAGAAATTTCTAAATCCCTGAAGTCGTTTACAACCAGTCATTTTGCTCCAACGTTTCAAGAGAAAGCACGTCAACTAATGTGTAAATATCAGGTAGGTTGAAGAGACGGAATTTAATAGGATATTTAAATCTAGAAAGACCCGGAAATAGCTAAGGCCATTGTGAATATATATGAATCCTTGTATCTTCAGTATGTTTTTGACCTTGGAACACACATGTTATCGTACCACTTTTTCCATTTATCAAGAAACAGCGACAAGTTAGGGTTGAATCCCTGGCTATTTCCCAAGCGTTCGCATACATAACAGTGATTACAGGGATATAGCACAAGCCCACTTTAACTGACATACGGTGGAATGATCTGAAGTCTACCTAATTACCTGAACGAGAAGGTTCTATGTAGACGCTAACTGTAGGATAAAAAGAAGATACTGCTCTTCTGGATTTATAGACGTAGGATGATAAAAACTGTTCTTAGCGTTGAACATCTAAACTTGTACAACTATTGATAGGTGATTTCCCGCTTTTGATGCTTGGTTATGAACATTTCTTCATCACCCTTTGGTGATCCTATCTACACTTTCTTTACAAGGAGCCCAGGTAAACTTGGTTCATTTTATTTCAAATAGATATACAGCAGACAAGCACCAAGTATTGGCAGGTGGCCTCAAGTCAACTTATTATATTCCCTTTTAAGAAAGTGACATTAATTGAGATAACATGTTTCACTTCATTTTTCTTAATAAAATTGCTTACCACGATCTGAGTAGCCTTTTCGACTGATTGGACAATTCACTCCAGCGAACCGCGTTAATTGCTGTACCAATGATCTTGTAATTATGATTGCTTCACTGTTTACCTGACGGTCAGTTTCTGATTTCTGTTCACTTAATTCATCCGTCTTCAGCTCTAATGTTGCTGGATAGAAGAACACCTTGGTAGTGGATTTTTCGGTTCGTTTAAGGCGGATTGTTCGCATTCATAAGGCAGCCATATCAACAATATACTGTAAGAGGATCCTGCATCAGTTAAATATATAAACAGTAGGAACGAAGAATAAAATTGTTACCATTTGTGATCAGAATATAGTAATGGATTTATCTTCAGCTGTATTATTTTGGTTTTCTGTGTCCTTATTGTTCATTTTTTTGATAGAGATCATTATGCTAATACGTGATAATACCAGAGACTATACGATTAATATTATCAATTAACAGCTGATACTGGATGCTATGACGCTTGATTCTTTCTACTTAAGACCTTTTGTCTTATCATGCTTCATTGGTGTTGTTTTTTTATCAGGAGTGGAACTTACGGTGTATTACAACATAAAACATAACCAGTGAGTTACGAGAACTACCTACCATTTAGTTGGCCTGGCTTCCCGTAAGGACTTGTAAAGTTTTACTGTTTCTTTATTTGCTTACTTGATCAAATAAGTTTCCGGTCTTGCTTAATTTTCAGTAGACGTTTGTTAAGCATGATCAATGATGCGTTTACACACTGAGAATTTGGATAATACTAAAAATTATTTATCTGTATAATCAGTAGACGCATCAAAATATTCATAAAGCAACGTGTTTTCTTTTCAAACCGCTTTTGAAATTATCCTGATTTTTATAAACTACAAAATAATGAAGGATATTCTCAGTAGGGAACATAAGTCATTAGCTAATGGAGCAGCAATAAAGTCAACAAGTAGACAAGAATATCTCTAAGCATACGGAAAAATTGACGTGTAAGTAATTTGCTAAGTAAACTGATTGGTCGATATGAGAAATTTTGGAACACTGTACCAAGAAGCAGTTGCCCAAATCATGAGTTTGTTTTCTCAACAAAAAGAAAGAATGAGTAGAAATTAACAAATGTTTCAATAACCGAGAAGGATTTCAGAGACTAGACAACTAAATCTGTTGTTCACCGGTAACTAACACGCGTAAAATGTTCAGGATTTCGAAACGCATACAAGGCAAATACATCCTTACCCCTGAAATCATCTTTGAGCCAGCAGACGAATGATGCTTTTACATTCCTTCCTTTTTAAAACCGTAAATAGAGCGAGTAAAACAGATGAAGTAGAATAGTGTGAGTACATTTATCTTAACAATTCTATTTTGGCGTCTGTAGACCGATAACATTATAATACCTGTGACAAAAGCAAAATGGTTTATGTACTTTCATCTTGTAATAGGAGATTGCATCCATATGACAGCCTACACGAAGGAATACAAAATCTTATTGCCTGTGCATATTCACGAGTACAACCACTCTACATTTCCTTCACAGTGAACATCTTGTAGACACATCACAGTCATTCAGAATACATGACCATACCTGAAATCCTTTTTAGGTTTCTTACCTTATTAGGTTCTGATATCAGATACTAAGCTAGGTTTAGGTATTCCGTTAACCTAATTTACACCCGGTTGGCTGTCTAACCTATGCATGTGACCTTAGAGTCATCAAATAGAATTTGGCAGGTCAAATTTCTGTTTAATCTAATCAATAGTATCCTTTAACCGACAAATTTTGTCTTTAAGTGAGTTTGTGAGTTTGAATGCAAATCCAATCCCAGTCTTATTAAGAATCCTATGTAAGACTTTTGACATCCCTTCTCTGTATGGTAAAGCTATGTAGGTTTTAAAATCCTTCCCCATAGTCTCATCGTTGATACTATTTGTATCTGTGATTGTATTATTCGTAGTATTTTTCCTATTACTCGCAGGAGTAATTGTTGAGTAGTAATACATCTTTTGTATGCCTCATTTCTCGATATAGATTTTCTACCTTACTAGTCAGTCTTCGTACCCTGTTAGTCCGAGATTTTACTAATCCTGCCCCAACTGACATCAGATGATAAGACTTGTTTCTTCTGGATCATAAATAATCTTCGTTGATTTACTGTCAATAGCTAGACCATAGGTAAATGTATACGTGGCTAAAGAACTTCATCACCACGTACGTGAGTGAGAAGTTGAAGAGTGAGTAGATATCTAGCTTGGCAGCCTGACATTTACATCCTTAGATGGTGTAATAAGTAAGGTAGATAAGTATCAGTAGAAATAAATTATGTAGGTAAGAAATGGAGAAAACTAACTAGTTTAGCAGGAATTCATAAAGTAAAGGGAGTTAGTAAGGAAATAATTTGTTACCTAGGTATTAGATATCTGTCTAAAGTTTAATAGACATTGATGAGTAATTATCTGCTCAACAGGGCAGTCAGCATGTGTGTTTGGAAATCAGTATGTACGTTGGTAGTTAGACGGATATGTTAATAGCTAAATCGATACGAAAGAAAAGTATGCCCACAAGAAGATAAGATGATGAATGTATAAGATTTCTTTTGGAGTGGGACTTAAGTGGATTACAACCCAGCAGGTATGCTAATAAGCAATTAACCTGAATAACAGCATAATTACTTCCGTAAGAACACATTAAAGTACACTATTAAACAAACAGTTGGCTGAATATTGAGTAATGTTAATAAGCGTGTAATTTAAAAGAACAGTAAGCAAGTCGTTGATTCAACAGAAGGAAATGAAGTGACGGTAGGAGTAAACCAAATTGGAAAGCTAGGTTGCAAAATATCTAAAAATTCACCAAATCACATTATTGATTTTCTTTATTTCAACTGTTCGACTGTGACTATCTGATTGGAAACTGCAGATGGAACGGAAGTGGACTCTCCAAACTGTCAACTGGAGACGACTCAGTAATCTACTCAGATATTATCAACACACACAACAATCACCAGCACAGCACACTGAGTTTTCCAGTGGCTATCATGATGTTTCAAAGAGCATGAAAGGCTCTCAGATGATGGGAACCAATGTCCTCCTCCAGGATCAGGATGATGACAGCAAGATTCAAATCAAGAGGAGGGAAATTCAAAATCATACAATGCTACTCTGTGCACCTACGAATAATGCAGATGAAGAGAAGAAGGAGGAATTCCATAGACAACTACAATCAGCACTGAACAAGACCACACTCCAGTTGGTGACATCAAAATCCATTCTAATGGGTGGGGTGGGGTGGGGTGGGGTGAGGTGAGGTGAGATGAATGCCAAACTGGGAGTGGACAACACAGGAAGAGAACTGATCATGGGTCGAGAAGCACTCAGTGAAATGATGAATGAGAATAGAGAAGTATTCGCAGACTTCTGTGCATTCAACGATTTGGTGACTGGAGTCGATGCAGTGTGTACAAACACAAGGATATTCACAAGGTAGCGACATGCATCTGATTTCACCAGACACCGGGACACACTACACTAAGCATCAGAACGACTTCATGTGAATGTGAAGAAAGTGGAGATGGAGATGCAGCCTACTGGACACCAGATCGGATGAAGAAGGGGAGCAGATGTCGGTTCACGCCACACACACACACACACACACACACACACACACACACACACACACACACACACACACACGATTATCTAGTGCAAGGAGCCTGTCCACAAAATCAAGTTGAAAGCCTTGAAAGAAGCTGGTGATGATAGACCAGAGTTCAAATCCAACGTCAACCCAGAACAGAACAGAAACTGAACTGAAGGATGAAACTACAAAGGATGGCTTCACGTCAATCAGCCAGCCAGCCAGCCAGCCAGCCCGTCAGTTAGTTAGTCAGTCATCAGGATAAGATGAGAGACACTGAGCAACATCCGTGAATAAAGCTGCATGGGAGAAGACTGGAATCGTTTTGAAGAGGTGTGGAAGGAAACCTGCATAACTGTGTTAGGAATGACGAAGAAGGAGGGAGACAAGGAGTGGATGTCGACGGACACATGGAAGCTGATAGAGGAGGGAGAGGAAGATGGTGATGGTGAAGCAGAACATGAACCAGTGCAGTGCAAGGATTACAACGAAAAGAGGAACAGAACACAACGTATAAAGCATTACACCGAAAAAAGAAGTGAAGAAGAAGAAGAAGAAGACAAAAGACACTTCCACGACACACTGGTTAGTGGAGCAGAACAGACTGCAGGATGCTGGTAGGAGAGGCCTGACAACCGTGTGTGAAATAACCAAAATATTATGTGGGTAGAGATCAGCTCAGATGGAACGAATGAAAGATAGTGAAGGGAGGTTGGTTAGCAGAGAGGAGAAAGAAAGGAAACGATGGACTGACGACTTCAGAAAACTATTGAATCGACCACCAACACCATCACTACCACCACCACCTGCAACACGTCCAGAAATACCACCACCAGACCAGCCACAGAATTACCACTGAAGACAAATCCTGTGACAAAAGCAAGAGTGAAGCCCCTAACACAATAAACTCGTTGAAATCCAGGAAAGCAGCAGAACCAGATGAAATCCCGCCAGAAGCACTGAAAACAGACTCAGCGACAACAGCGGACATGCTCACACCACTATTGCAGAACCTTTAGAAAGAAAGAAGTAAAAGGACCTACCGGTGGGAATAAAGGCCACCATGAAAAACTCCCAAACGAGGGAGACCTAAGTCTTTGCAAAAACCAGCAAGGAATCATGCTGCTATCCCTATCAACACCAGGTAAAATATTAAGCTGCATCATCCTGGAGAGACTCACAAATGCGCTGGATTCAAAATACGACTGCAACAGGGAGGCAGGCAGGCAGGCAGACTGGCTGGCTGGCTTCAGGAATAACAATTCATGTGTGGGTCAAATTGCAACGCTACTCTGCGCTACGCATCATCATAGAACAGAGCATAGAATGGCATTCAACTCTCTACCTCACCTCATCTTCATCCATTCCGTTTTGAAAAGACCTTCGACAGTGTAGACCGAGAAGTAATTTGACAGGCAGCTGCTTGCTTCAACACATCGGTTTCAGTGCCACAAATCTTTATCAACCTCATTCAACAGTAGCTACATGCTACATGATGAGGCCACATGCTGAGTGATTGACAACACAATGGAAAACTCAGTGACGCCTTTGAAATGAAGAGTGGGGACAGGAGTGAGACGAGGTTGCCGCCTAGTATCACCAATGATCTTCCTGATTGTGGTCGACTGGACTGCACTTGACTGGACGTGACTGGAGCGTGCAAGAAACTGTGATGAGTGAGAGGAGGAGTAAAGGCTGGCTGGACCGATGAAAAGAGCCTAGAAGATTTGGATTTCGCCACCAAGGATGATTTATGTGTGATGTGTTGTCGCACGAACTCGAACAAATTGGCAGAAGAGGTGAGGCGATGCAGCGAGGACGGGACTTCCTTCAGATGGAAGGTAGAGAAGACAGAGGTGGATGTGATGAAGATAGCCAACCAACCAACAATAACAACAACGACAACAGGCAGTAATCACCATGGACAGGAGAAATCTCAAGGAAGTTGTCTCTTTCACCTGCCTACCTGCGTACTTATCTAGGCAGCATCGTTCCCTCACTGGGAGGCAGGTGCATTTAACTGACTAGTCCTAATTGGTACCCGGCAACCGGACGTATCTGCTCCCGAATCCGAAGCCTGTGTGAACAACATAAGTCACTTGGGGGCAGGTACATTTAACTGACGAGTCCGAATTAGGAGGAGACGCGTAACCTAGATCCCACCGCTAGCCACTACTCTCCGTTAAGAAGGTACTACACTTTGTTTACTTTTAAGGGCGGCCTGTTACGCGGCCAGCCACAAGCATGATAAATTTGATTTAATGACCAACTTTCCACTTACCACCCATAGTAAAATCTGATGTCACGCAATAAAACAACTATTTGCACATTGATGAGAATATGGTTCATTAATCGCAGTTTTGTGTCTGAAGTGTGTGGATGACTACAAATCTCGATTTGTATAACCAAATTCACACCAAAACCGTTTCTATTACAAGCCCAAGTACTTACCCTATCATACTACTGAGTAAGTTGTCATCAGTAGACTGTGGAGTTCATTGTAACTTTATATCAGGAATTTATGATATGTTCTGTCTCCTAATTTACTCTTTAGTGTTTGCGTTTAGTCGTAATGTAGATTCCTGATATAAAGTTACGATGAACTCCACAGTCTACTGATGACAACTTACTCAGTAGTATGATAGGGTAAGTACTTGGGCTTGTAATAGAAACGGTTTTGGTGTGAATTTGGTTATACAAATCGAGATTTGTAGTCATCCACACACTTCAGACACAAAACTGCGATTAATGAACCATATTCTCATCAATGTGCAAATAGTTGTTTTATTGCGTGACATCAGATTTTACTATGGGTGGTAAGTGGAAAGTTGGTCATTAAATCAAATTTATCATGCTTGTGGCTGGCCGCGTAACAGGCCGCCCTTAAAAGTAAACAAAGTGTAGTACCTTCTTAACGGAGAGTAGTAGCTAGCGGTGGGATCTAGGTTACGCGTCTCCTCCTAATTCGGACTCGTCAGTTAAATGTACCTGCCCCAAGTGACTTATGTTGTTCACACAGGCTTCGGATTCGGGAGCAGATACGTCCGGTTGCCGGGTACCAATTAGGACGACATGCACATCATGGATTCCACCGCTAGCCACTATCCATCATTACTATACATAATTAAAACAAAGGCAATATTGAGACATCCGCACAGGAGCCCATATGCCAACAGAGACTGATCAAATCGGTCCAGTCAACGACGGTGCAATACAAGGAATAACACTAAAGTGCAATATACGTTACTAGTTTTCCACCGGTAATGTGCTGTCAGTATGCTTGTGCACAGAAGCATATAGTCATTATCAACGTTTAGAATTGCTGAGGGTTTAGTGATATCATAGCAAGGAGTTCTCTCCTGGTCACTGTGAGTGAGTCTGTTGGTGATTGTGGTAAACACAAAGCAAAGCGTTTGACACGATTTATAGTCTGAAGTGAGAAGTACCGAAGGAAATGGAACTCAGTCTCACTGTTGATTCCCCTTTTAAGTGAACTGAGTGGATTGCTTTAAAAGTATCAACAACGTGAGTACGGGAGTAGTATGACCTGTGTTGGTGACTGTAGGAGATGCTGTGTGGAATTGAAATCTGTTCAGAGTTTCAATCTTTTCTCACCGTATTCGGTTGCGAGTGTTACCGGGAATCTCTTTTAGGGATCAGCCAATTTCCTGTTCCTAACTGAAACTAGCAGCGCAAACTTGTACAGATTTTGTTGCATCTATTTGTACTTGTTTGAAGTTGAATAACTAAATTAATTTTAGCTGCATTGTTTCCAACACACTTGCTGCTTTCTAAGCATACACTCCAGACTGAGAACTTAAGTGAGTTCGTTAATTTTTTTCTTTTCTCTATATTCATTTGATATCTTCCTGGCTTGTGACTTGTTGGGTTTCACTTAATCTTCCACTTCCTAATCTACTTTAACTGTCCAACTAACCTCTTCTATAATTCTTCATTTCTTTAGAGTCACTTAACGTTGTCAAAGCCATACAGTCAAACTTTTCAGTTACATACACGGTTTTCTTTTACGATTCTTGCCTATCTGCACAGTTTTGGTAATGTCTAACTAGTTAGTTGGTCGCAGGTAATCGGCAGAAAGCCATGGATTCAGGTGAGTTACTCTATAGTGATGACCTCAGCTAATTACAGGTCTGTCTGTTTACTAGTTGAATGTATTTGTTGAGCTTGCTCTATGCTTCTAGTGCAAACTTCATTTTTCAACAAAAGCATTCTGTTTTTTAATGATATAGTTTGTAAATCTACGTCCTTGGTTGAACTGATCAGCCACTATCTAGATATTGGCTCCTATGTGGATGACTCAATATTGCCGTTATTTTCAGTTTTGATACTGATCGACGTCGGAGATTTATAAGGTAGGATGTCAGAACTATGCTAAACTGTCGTGATTCTGGGGCCTGTTGGGTAACGCTCTGGCGTTTGAAGCGATTGGTAGTGGGTTGGAGTCATAGTGGGAACTGCACAACTCACTGGGCTGCAGGAACATCCAGGTAGGGCTGAACGCTTGTCTTGGATTTTATTGCTGGTCGCTATCTATCATTAACATAAAAGGTACTCTATGATCATTTATTTTATGAACTCTGAGTTTATTTTTACAACTTATAAGATTTGTCTTTTTCTTATTGGCTTGTATTTGTTTATATACTTCCATTATTCATCTCATTTCTATGAAGCATCAATAGATATATCAATGTGAGAATATAATCCGATTTGAACTACTTATTTCGAATTAGAAAATCATTCCATCCAGTGAATGTTTTCTCCACTAACTGAGGCTGTGAAGCACTGAATAGAGAGTACACCATTGTTCAATACTAAGCTATTAATCATTATTATTTGTCCCAGCCAGCCAACCAGCTAGCCAACCAGCTAGCCAGCCAGCCAGCCAGCCAGCCAGCCAGCCAGTCTGCCTGCCTGCCTGCCTGCTTCCCTGTTGCAGTCGTATTTTGAATCCAGCGCATTTGTGAGTCTCTCCAGGATGATACGGCTTAATATTTTACCTGGTGTTGATAGGGATAGCAATATGATTCCTTGCTGGTTTTTGCAAAGACTTAGGTCTCCCTCGTTTGCGAGTTTGACAAGGTAGCCCTTCTTCCAATCAGTCAGCAAGTACATTTCCCTCCTCCCTTCTGAACCTTCTGCAATAGTGGTGTGAGCATGTCCGCTGTTGTCACTGAGTCTATTTTCAGTGCTTCTGGCGGAATTTCATCTGGTCCTGCTGCTTTCCTAGATTTCAACGAGTTTATTGTGTTAGGGGCTTCACTCTTGCTTTTGTCACAGGATTTGTCTTCAGTGGTAATTCTGTGGCTTGTCTCGTGGTGGTATTTCTGGACGAAGTGTAGGTGGTGGTGGTGGTGGTGGTAGTGGTCGATTCAATAGTTTTCTGAAGTCGTCAGTCCATCGTTTCCTTTCTTTCTCCTCTTTGCTAACCAACCTCCCTTCACTATCTTTCATTGGTTACATCTGAGTTGATCTCTACCCACATAATATTTTGGTTATTTCACACACGGTTGTCAGGCCTCTCCTACCAGCATCCTGCAGTCTGTTCTGCTCCACTAACCAGTGTGTCGTGGAAGTGTCTTTTGTCTTAGTCTTCTTCTTCTTCACTTCTTTCTTCAGTGTAGTGTTTCATATGTTGTGTTCAGCTTTTCTTTTGGTTGTTTATTTCTGCACTGTACTCTACTGCACCGTACTGCACTGCGCTGCAATGCAATGGAATGCACTGCTCTGGCTCATATTCTGCTTCACCATCACCATCTTCCTCTCCCTCCTCTATCAGCTTCCATGTGTCCGTCGACATCCACTCCTTGTCTCCCTCCTTCTTCGTCATTCCTAACACAGTTATGCAGGTTTCCTTCCACACCTCTTCAAAACGATTCCAGTCTTCTCCCATGCAGCTTTATTCACGGATGTTGCTCAGTGTCTCTCATCTTATCCTGATGACTGACTAACTAACTGACGGGCTGGCTGGCTGGCTGGCTGGCTGATTGACGTGAAGCCATCCTTTGTAGTTTCATCCTTCAGTTCAGTTTCTGTTCTGTTCTGGGTTGACGTTGGATTTGAACTCTGGTCTATCATCACCAGCTTCTTTCAAGGCTTTCAACTTGATTTTGTGGACAGGCTCCTTGCACTAGATAATCGTGTGTGTGTGTGTGTGTGTGTGTGTGTGTGGCGTGAACCGACATCTGCTCCCCTTCTTCATCCGATCTGGTGTCCAGTAGGTTGCATCTCTGTTTCCACTTTCTTCACATTCACATGAAGTCGTTCTGATGCTCAGTGTAGTGTGTCCCGGTGTCTGGTGAAATCAGATGCATGTCGCTACCTTGTGAATATCCTTGTGTTTGTACATACTGCATCGCCTCCAATCACCTAGTCGTGATATACGCTGTAGTCTTCAGGTAGTTCTCTTTTTTCTTTGATTTGGTTTGCATATTATAATATCTCTTAGTAGATTTGTCTTTATATTTTGGTTGATGTGGTTATGCATAGCAGCATGATTCCTTCCCAGTATTTGGAATTTCTTTGGTCTCCCTCCTTTCGGAGTTTCACCTTTTAGCCTTTCTTCTGTTCGTTGAATACCTTTCGTTTTTTGTAGCCATTCTGCCGTAGTTGTTTGAACGATTGGGATTACTCGAAGCCATATGATTGGATACTCGTTGCAATTGCGATTGGAATATCTTATACGAATTATTACTTCAAATGTGACTTCGCTGCTGATATCTGGGAAGGAAGCATTTCAAACTTTCTCTGTGTCAACCTTGAGGATTGTATTCTCCGGTCGTCCACTTTGTCTGCTAATTCATCTGTTTATGTGGAGTCAGATGTGTAGGTTGTTCGATGCGCATTCTTTCCGAACTGTTTAGAGAACATTGCCATGCCTTGCAGCAAAGAGGTACGAGTGGATCTATAAGTAGTTCAATAATTGGATACCATGTTATTACTAATCACTAAATCACAATTGATTGAGCGTTCAAAGTTATTTTCGAGGTGAAAAGAGCTAGGTAAACTCCTAAAAATATACCAACCTTTATCTTTCTCGCCCTTATTATTCACAACTTCGTTATATTTTATGATATATTTTAATAACCCAATATTGTCTTCATTTTGTTCCCATCCTACCCTTGATCATGCTTTATTTGGGGAAATATTTTTATCTATCGTGCTGCTTTATATTCCATCTGGTTATGTTGGTTTCTATGCTCTTTTTTGGCTAGTTTTCACTGCACATCACAAAACCCAATTTCTAATCTTCCTTTAATTTGATTTTTGTTACTAAGTTTAATTAAAGAATTCTTATAACTATCCAACCTTGTTGAACAAAAAATGCACGAATTGCTATTGTACAGCTATGGAGAATGAAATCGCTAAAAAGACGTCTTCGCTGATCTTCTTATTTTTTTAACGTCCTGATGGGTATTTTCAATAATTTGAAGGCATATAGGATGACCAAATCAACTTAGAACTTCTCTGAGAGGTGCATTGGTTCATATTTTGCAGTAGTATACAAGGAACAAGTGGATAGAAGAAGACCGATATCAGAGTGGACAAAGTTGTGTGAGTGAATTAGCAATTTGAACATAGTGGTTGGTGCGAATATTCAAGTTTTAGAAGGCGTCAAGGAGTGGATATATCTACGTCAATAAGACTGACCTTCGACCGTGTCACTAATAGACCTCAACTACTGATTAACATCGTCTCGGGAACCCCAGCCAGGCAGTTTGTATCTCTAAATATGGCTCAAACCAACAGTCAAGGACTTCATGTACTGGTGCCACATCCTGGTCTAGCCACTGTGAACCCTTTCCCAACCTAATCGAACTTCGCCCAGCATGACGCATCGAGGTAGGTGCCTGTGGCTCGGGACACGCAGTACATGCCCAGGTCGCCTCAGTCTACTAAAGTTTACAACTTCATCAGTCGGTTTGCCTTTCTTACCTAGTACCCTTCGTCTGACCTCAACAGTGCTACCATGGTAATTCCACTCAAAGTCAACAATGTTGTGTAGATGCCTGTGATCAAATCCCTGCAGTCGCTTAAAATATTTTACTCCTAACAGCTATATCTCGCAATCAAATAACAGGACAGAACAGAGTGAGGCGGAGTATACTTGTCCTTTGATAGATAGTTGGATATCTCTCTATTTGGCAGCACAAATGACGTAATTTGCAAATTTAAAACAAGCCTTCTCTAGCCTAGCCGAGCAACCAGCCGGTTTAGATTGATGCAACTCCCCAACTAAATGAGGTGGTCGACACTTGCAACCACTTCACTCCCTACTATTAAGCTAGGAGTGGTTGCAGACCGCTTCTGAACCATCATCTTGCATTTAACAGGCCCCAGCAAAAGGCATGCCAAACGTACTCAGATTTCTACTCAACATGTTCAGAGTACTCTGCACTTTGTCGGTGTCTTCACGTATTAAAACAACATTGTCTGCGTACTGCAAGTGAGTCAAATGACCTCTAGGGACTTGAGTAATCCTTGTGAAGTCAAACATATCTAAGGTAATGTCCATTAATGCGTCTATGACAAAGTTGGATAGGGGCGATGCCAGTGGACATACCTGGCGAACATCAGTAGTTGTCGTCAACTCTGGTGACAACTTTCTCTATAAGCCAATACGCAGCTGTGTGACTTTGAGTGGAAGGCTCTGATTAGCATATATGTACTTCCTCCGTTCTCCGTTCACAGTCAGACACTGCCACAACACCTCATGGTTGACAGGATCAAATGGCGCTTTCAGGTCAAGAAAATATGGGGAATGTCGGCAACTGGCCGGTAAGCATTCCTGCGTTCTGGAACCTATAGGAGGGTAAAAATATAATCAGTGCATCCTCGTCCAGGTTTGAAACCTGCCTGACTTTCTTGACCTCACTGTTCTCCAGCATATGTAACAGGGTAATTAACTAGACATATCATTTACACGTGCATCTGCCTTTTGATACCACACAGAGTGGTGCCAGGAAGATATTTTCATGGAGTGAAGTATTTTAGTGCTTTAACCATGTACAGGAACTAGATACACCTGTAAAATGAAACACTAAGTTCATGTAGTGTTCAACAGGAAGTTAAATTGATTCAGAGAGAACTTGTGTCTCAAATATTTTATTACAACCATGAGATGAAAGTAGTTAATCATAATACAGATATGTGGAAGAACATTCAGCTGATGAGGATGAAATAATGAATGCGATCTCTGTCCATCAACATGAATTATATTTTAGAATATAGCCGTCAAGGTCATGAATTCAACAACTTACCAACACATCCAGCATGTACAGGTAACATTTTCAATTTTCCCACACCGAATTTTTCAAATAACAGTAAACTACGTTTTTGCATTTCAGTAGTATAAGTTGTTTTACTTGTAGGATAATTAAATATAGTTAGGTGTATCTTTTCATTCCCAATAGAGGATACATGTGAATTTGTTGCTATGTTATTTATAGGCTGTGAATGCTGAAATCTTGTCCAAAATCTGCTGCCATTGGATACCTGCAGAATGGTCAGACCTAATTTCAACGCTGAACGTATCCACTTAATTCGCTTCTTGCCATCATCTTTTGCTAGACTGGATTTCATAGGTTTATTATGCATTGAATTAAATTTCACATGACTAACTGTATCGATTGCAGGAAGAATAAGGCATGTGAATTTTTTAAACTGGAGTTGTCCATTGTTTTCTTCATTGAACAGACTGTTAAGTGACGACTGAACTTTGGAATTCCATTGTAATACTATAATAATATCAATCCTGATTTTTGAATGGGAGTAGGGATATGGTAGAACGAAGCAGAAAGAATTAATAAAGTAACTGGATGAGACCGATATTTATGCAGAAAAAACAGTATGACATAAAAAGAGACACAGGAATCATTTTCAGCTGTTATTGTCATAGTGTTATACCGTATTATACCGTCGTTGACTGGACCAAATTGGTAGGTCTCTATAAACATATGGTTAACTAGTTCACTAGTTACTAGCCGGTCCTAAGCCCGGGTAAACAGGGAAGGTTGAGCATAGGGCTAGCAACCCTACCCCGTAAAACAAATCTAACCGCTAAAGAAACTTCAAAGCACAAACAAAATATAAAAAATAATAACAAAATTATTCCTCGCTGGAATCGGAGAGGCGAAATGACGCCAGTTGGTGAAAGCCTTCGGGAAGCCAATTGCCTGGGCCGATGTGTCTTCTCACTCTCGATGAAAGCGAAAGTAGACGTGGGGACATGGAATGTCCGCACGATGTTTGAACCCAGCAAGGCAGCCCAGATTGCAAACGAGATGAGGAGGTATCACAGTGAAGTACTTGGGATTTGCGAAAGCAGATGGAATGGGAGTGGACTCTCCAAACTGTCAACTGGAGAATCAATAATCTACTCCGTTACTGTCATCCAGACGACAACCACGAGCACAGTGAGGGAGTGCCTATCATGATGTCCTCAAGAGCATCGAAGGCTCTCATGCAGTGGGAACCAATCTCCTCCAGGATCATGACAGCAAGATTCAACTCAAAAGGAAGGAAGGTCACAATCATACAATGCCTGGCTATGCACCTACAAATAATGCAGAGCAAGAGAAGAAGGAGGAATTCTACAGACAACTTCAATCAACACTGGACAAGACGTCAGTTGGCGATATCAAAATTCTAATGGGCAGGGTGACATGAATGCCAAACTGGGAGGGGACAACACAGGAAGAGAACTAACCATGGGTCGAGAAGTGCTCGGTGAGGTGATGAATGAGAATGGAGAATTATTTGCAGAATTCTGTGCATTCAGCGATTTGGAGATTGGAGTCAGGCACTGTGTTCAAGCACAAGGATACCAACAAAGCGACATGGATTTCACCAGATGGACACACTAAAAATCAAATCGACTTTATCTCAATCTCAAGAAAATGGAGACGCAGTCTACTTAACACAAGGTCAAGAAGAGGAGCAGATGTAGGTTCAGATCACTCACTGTCTAGTGCAAAGAACCTTCCGAATCAAGTTAAAAGCCTTCAAGGAAGCTGGTGATAGACCACAGTTCAAGTACAACACTCGGAAACTGAAGGATGAAACTACAAAGGAGATCTTCAAGGCAGCCATCAAGACAAAATGGGAGATATCGAGGAACATCCTTGAAGAAACCTGTGTGGAAGAACACTGGAAGTCTTTGAAAGAGATGTGGAAAGAAACCTGCACAGCCATATTAGGAAGGAAGAAGGTGGAAGACAAGGAATGGATCTCGACGGATACCTGGAAGCTGATAGAGCAGGGAGAGGAGGATGATGAAGCAGAAGATAAACCAGTGCAAGGATGCTCAACGACAAGAGGAACTGAGCACAATGTATAAAACACTGGACAAAGAAGTGAAGAAGAGTGAACGCAAAGACAAATGACACTTCTACGAAACACTGGCAAGTGAAGCAGAACAGGCTGCCGGCTGGTAGGGGAGACAGAGACCTGACAACATTACATTAAATAACCAAGTTACTATCTGTGAAGAGATCAACACACATGAAACCAATAAAAGATGATGAAGGGAATCTGATTACCAAAGAAGAGTAACAAAGGAAACGATGGGCCGACCACTCCAAGAAGCTCTTGAATCGACCACCCTCATCACCTGCACTTCGTCCAGAAATAGCACCTGCAGCCGCTGAACTACAAGTGAACATAAATCCTCCAACAAAGGTCAAAGTCCTGAACGCCATAAAGCTACTGAAATGCAGGAAAGCAGCAGGACTAGATGGAATCCCACCAGAAGCACTGGGAACAGACGCAGAGACAACAGCAGACATGCTCACACCATTATTGCAGAAGATGTGGAAGGAAGGGAAGGTACCTGGCGATTGGGAGAAGGGTTACCTTGTCAAACTGCCGAAGAAAGGAGACCTCGGTGTTTGCAAGAACTGGCGAGGAATCACTCTCGTGTCCACCTCAAGCAAAATATTAAGTTGCATCATCTTGGAGAGACTAAGGGATGCACTGGATTCAAAACTACGACCGGGACAGGCTGGATTCAGGAAGTACAAATCATGTGCGGACCAAATTGCAACGCTTCGAATCATCATACAAAAGAGCACAGAATGGTAGTCAACTCTACACCTCAACTTCATCGATTTTGATAGGGCTTTTGACAGCGTCGACCGAATAGTAGTTTGGCAGACAACTGCTTCAACACTACGAAATACCACAAACCTTTATCCGCCTCATTCAACAACTATTTGAAGACGCCACATACCAAGTAATTCACAATGGGAAGCTCAGTGATGCTTTTGAAGTGAAGACAGATAGGAGTGAAACAAGGCTGTCTACTATCCCCCATGATATTCCTGATTGTGGTCGACTGGACTGGATCATGCAACAAACAGTGAGAAGAGAGAAGAGGAGGATACAATAGCTGGACCTCGAAAAAAACCTAGAAGATTTGGGTTTTACCGGTGACTAGTGTCTGGTGTAGCACAAACTTGAAGATCTACAGGAAAAAAAACTAACAAGCTGACAGAAGAGGCAGCGAAGACGGGACTTCCTCCAAGTGAACGTAGAGAAGACGGAGGTGATGAGGATACCCAACCAACAACACCACCAACGACAACAAACTCCAGTCACCATCAATGGGAGAAACTTAAAGGAAGTAGCCCTCTTCACCTACCTATCTAGGCAGCACTGTTTCACCTACAGGTGGCACAGACGAGGACGTCAAAGTCAGAATAGGAAAAGCAAGACAGGAGTTCATTAGCCTGAAACCAGTGTGGAGATCTTCTGCACTGCACTCAGCATGTGAAACAAGATCCGGATTTTCAACACCAACGTCAACTCAGTGCTCCTGTATGGTTGAGAGACTTGGCGTGTTACGAAAGGGATTTCCAACAAACTGCAGATATTCAGCAGCAACTGCCTACGCTCGTTACTAAAGATCAGATGGCCAGAAAGAATAAGCAACAAGGAACTCTGGCAACGAACCAACCAAGAAGCTATCGCTGAACAAATATGCAGTGGAAGGAAGTGGAGATGGATTGGGTATACACTAAGAAGGCCGACTGGGGACATCACACGTCAGGCCCTCAAGTGGAACCCCGATTGGAAGCAACGAGTTGGGCGTTCGAGGTGAGGGTGACATGGAGGAGAGGAGGAGGAGGAGGAATAAATGAGAGCTTCTAGGCTGTCGTGGAGCCAGGTTCAACAGATTTAAGAGAACAGAGTTCACTAGAGACGTGCTACTGAAGCCCTATATTCCATTAGGAACCCAAGGCACAAATGAAAATAATAATAATAATAGGCATATGGGTTCCTGTGCGGATGTCTCAATATTACCCGTGTTTTTAATTATATAGTAATGATGGATAGTGGCTAGCACTGGAATCCAGGATGGGCGTTTCGTCGTATTTGTCATAATTAAACACAGAATTGTCGTTTTAAACAATAGCCGAGTCCTTATTCAACAGTAGCCCCTAAAAAGGTTTCCGAAATTTTCGGTCTGAAGCCACATGATGTTATACATGTTGGTTGTGATGATGGTTGACCATCGGAGATACTAGTTAATGAAAATACTATACTGTTCATCTTCAGAAGTTGGAGGATGTGAGATAGTGTGTCCAAACCAGTCGGTTGGATGTACTGAATGAATAACCTGAGGGTCCCAGTTTGGAGACTGTGTGTATCTACAAGTGAATACTAGTAAGTAACATCACACTGAGGGTAGTGAATCGTTTGGTAATCCCCAGTTTTCAGTAGGTATTTGTTCACATAGTGAAAACACCTTAAAATTAATCTCTCCCCAACAAATCATTCTAGGTAGTACACGATTGGCATGTTAAACATTTGAAGGGTATAATGTAACATGTCGGTAATGGCAAGGGTTTGAATACATTAAGCATATTTCGTCCAGCTGACATCTCATCAGCTGAATGTACCAACACCCCACTCCTTTAGCAGTCAGTATACTTTAATGTTAAGACTTGTTACTTACAGTCGTTGATTGGTTTGAAAAGGATTGATAGGTATCTGTAAGCATATGTGCCATCATTCACTTGAATGCAGATACAACCAGCTGACAAGTATCAATTAGGAGGAAACAGACATCTTAGTCTTCACTTACGGTTACCATTAGTCGAACTACATCACAGATAATCTTCATGCGTTATCGAGGTATCCCCACAGAAGCCCATACACAAGCAGAGACCGATCATTTAGGTTCAGAACAATCAACGGAAAATTGCAGATTACACTGAATGAGTGACTTTAAAGACCACTCTAGCAACTGCTGAAAAAATCAATTAGGTTTTGATATCTCGGTGGGGACGGCAGCTTTTTATGAAATTCGGAAAAGTAATTGGTCATTTCATCAGTTTTTAGGGTGGCCTTTAAAGCCACTCTAATGAATAACTCAAACGGTACTTTGATTATTTTTGTTTAATTAGACAATGTATTCATTCCGATTTTGAATGTATTATTAGGAGTCTAATAAGTTAGCAGTATGTGGTTTATTGCATCTTATCCAGGATATCTGGAGTGAGGAAAGAAGGATCTACTCTCTTAGATAATGTGACGAATCGTGAATACCTGCATATGACTCATTGAAACAGAAGACAGATTTGATGTGCGTAAATGAGATAAGTGCGATATCTAGATAACAACCCAGTCTTGCCAACAGGTAACTGTTTTCATCACACGATAACAATGGTTGAAGAACTTTTGCTAACCAGGTATCAAAGATTAAGTATTTCATCCTTGTGTAAAAGTATCCATTGCATTTACCCCACAAAT